AGGCACCAGAGCCAGACATGGAAGCAACGAAAGTTCCCAGAATTGCATAAAGTCAAATTCCTATAATAAATCCATGTGCGCGCATGCATGCGTGTGTGCATGTGTGTGTGTGTGTGCACGTTTTATGCTGGGAAATGTTGAACAACTAGCTTTCCAGAAAAAAAAAAAAGAAAACCCAATCAGTAGCATTTGCCAATTTCCTTGGTATAAATATTCCACTCTGACCATTTTACGCTACTGATGTGATATCGCTAAATGGGGACTGGGGAAGAGCTGCTAGCAATGAGCTGTCTCAGGCCAGCGCTCAGCAGCTCCTGCGCACCACCGGGAGTATGTCTTAGTGGTTTTGCTTCTCTGCATCTTGTCTAATAGACCTATTTAAATTTTTTCTGTAGCTCTCTGCACCTTCTACCTTGCTACATATTTTAGTCTTCTGCCTCCTACCTCGGAATGTAAGCTCTTTCAGGGCAGGGAGTTTTGCCTGTTTTGTTCACTGCTGTCTCTTTGGCTCTCAGAACAGGTGCTGCACTCAATAGCTGTCCGTGTGTATTTATTGGAGGGGGAGGGAATGAATGAAGGAATGTAGTGTGGGAGGATTTACGGGGCAATAATAGAACCGGATGTGTGGCAGACCAAGAACCTGAGTGAGATCATTGTCAAGGTGTCACCTGGTTTGATTCAGTTCAACAAATATTTGTGGATGCGTACCATCTGCCGGATATTTTGCTGTTGGGGCACATACAGAGAGTAAGGCCTGGTTGCTAATCTGGCGGAATTTAGAGGGGCTGGAAAAGAAGGGAGAGAACTCAATGTCAGGGGAACCAGGAACATTGATGAGGAAATAGGGGCACCTGGGTGGCTCAGTTGTTAAGCATCTGCCTTCAGTTCAGATCATGATCCCAGGGTCCTGGAATCAAGCCCCACATCGGGCTCCCTGCTTCGCGGGAAGCCTGATTCTCCCTCTCTCACTCCCCCTGCTTGTGGTCCTGCTCTCGCTTTCTCTCTCTGTCAAATAAATAAATAAAATCTTAAGAAAAAAAAAAAGAGGAAATAGTCAACGATGCCCAAGGCAGCACAATGGACCAGGAAGACAGTGATCAAAAACTATCCTCTGAATGGAGCAATTAGGAAAGGTACAAGGGCTTTCCTTTGAGAAGCACCCCCAGTATCTCCTTTCTATGGAGGTTATAGTCCCAAAGCTCTTTGGCCATGTTCCTCTGCAGCCATGTGATAGAATTAGGGTTTCCAGCCAGCCAGCCCTTCTGACGTGGACTCTTCGAAGACAGGACTGCACCCCGGGGCTCAGGCCAGTGCTTAGCATGTGTAGGGACACAGCACGCATTTGATGAAAAATGAAATTACAAGGAGATTTAAAAAAATTTTAGACATCCCAGCTATTTATCTCAGGCTTTTCTTAGAGTTATTTCCTCTTAGCATTTTCTGTGGAAACTTAACCGAAACTGGACTGTTAATAATCCTCATTTTGTCCTTCAGTTCTCTAAAATGGAAACCCGCTTTTGGGATCAGAAAGAAATATTAAGTGGTATTTTATAATGAGACAAGTCACATTTGGGATTCATAGTAAGTGGATTTGCAGCCCAATTTTTGAGTCAGGAAGTACCACTGTCAATTGACTGATCACTGGACCAGGCTACTGTCCTCTGTTCATGTTCCTAAAAGGTGTTGTTTTATAGGATCTCGAAGTTTGAAACTTCGGCTTCCTATCCATCACTCACTAAATTCTTCCCGCTGGTTTCAGAAACATGTTGTCTGGCCAGAGATTCTGCCCTTGACCACCCCTCATATGAGTGGTACCCCTTGGTTGCTCTAGGCCTCCTTCCTTTCAGTTATATGCTTCCTGAGGGCGCATACCACTTCCTCACGTGGCGTTCTAGAACATGTCTGACACTTGTCTTGTCTCCCATGAGAACGTGAGGGCCATGAGGGCAAGACTTCATCTGTTTAGTTCACTGCTTGACCCCCAGCACTGAGAATAACACTGGTGTAAAATAGGGACAGGAAAGCTGTGGACTGGGTAGTTATGAGCCTTCTGGAGCAGCAAGCAGATTTGTCCTTTTTATGGGCATTTTTTTTTTTTTTTTAGAAAGAATTTCCAGAAATGGATAAAGACGAGAACATAAGGGCTGATACTAAGACTGTGTGGTACATGACATAACAGCCTCATCCTTCTCTACATAGATGGACAGATGGCTCTCCCACGGGTCCCCTGACCCTCCCCTTCCAGCTCTTTCCAGTTTGCCCCTCTTCCCACCATTACTCCAGCCTTGCTGCCAACATGCCCTCATCTTTCTCTCTCCTTAAGACCTTTGTTAGAATCTCCTGCTCCCTTAAGTCACTCCCTAACCTTTCTCCCTTTTCTCACATTCCACATTCTCAAACATGAGGATTGTGCTGACGACTTCCCTCTTTTTTCCATTCATTCCTTTCTCAAACATTTATGATCTGGCTCCCATTCCTAAATATTTCTGGAAACTTCTCCTTATGCAACTATATCCAAAATGGTTTTTCTTAACCTTTTTGAATCTATCCTCTACATAGAGAGCAGAGTGGTCTATCTAAAATGAAAACCTGAGGGGCACCTGGGTGGCTCAGTCGTTAAACGTCTGCCTTCAGCTCAGGTCATGATCCCAGGGTCTTGGGATCGAGGCCCGCATCAAGTTCCCTGCTCCGCGGGAAGCCTGCTTCTCCGTCTCCCGCTCCCCCTGCTTGTGTTCCCTCTCTCGCTGTCTCTCTGTCAAATAAATAAATAAAATCTTAAAAAAAAAAAAATGAAAACCTGATCATGACAATTTCCTGCTTAAAAGCTGCCCATCCACTTGAAGACCAAGTTCAAGCCTGTTTTTCATGAGACCTCTGCTCAACATGGCTGGTTCCTACCGCTCTGCTCTGCTCAGCTCACCACTCTCTGTTGGGCATTAAGCTTTCCATCTGGACCCACTGTTTTATCCTTGCTTGCACTGTAATTCTCCTGCTCTGGCTGCCTTCCATCTAAAATATCAGAGCTCTCTCCCCCCTAACCCCAACGAGCTAATTCCAGCTGATGCTTTAATAATTAAAAAAAATTTTTTTTTCAGTTAATAGAGAGTGGGACTCTTGATCTTGGAGTTGTGGGTTCAAGCATCATATTGAGTGTAGGGATTACTTAAAAATACAATCTTAAAAAAATAAGAATAAATTTTTTGAGCAACTGTATCAAATTGTCTCAATACCATTTACTGATATCCATCATTCGTCCACTGATTTTAAATGTCACATTCAGCATATTCTTAAACTTGGATCTGGTTTGGGGATTTAATTTTTTTGCTACTCTATTCCTGTTTTTATTATTATAAATTTCAAATGACTTTTAATATCTAACATTAGGGAAAGCACGCCTTTCTACTTTCTTCCTGCATTGCCTCTGACACCGATCCCCTTCTCCCAATTCATTTTCAAAATTTTCTTGGGGTGCCTGGGTAGCTCAGTTGGTTAAGTGTCTGCTTTTGGCTCAAGTCATGATCCCAGGGTCCTGGGATCGAGTCCCTGCATCGGGCTCCTTGCTCAACGGGGAGTCTGCTTGTCCCTCTGCCCCTATCCCCTGCTTATGCTCTCTCTCTCTCTCAAATAATAAATAAAATCTTTAAAACAATCTTTTTTCTTGACTATTTTCAGATACTTATTTTCCTAGTTGAGCTTAAGAATATTTTTTTTTTCAGTTTCTCCATTTCAGAAAATGGGATTTAGATTGAAATTGTACTGCAACTATCAATCATTTTAGAAAGTATTTTTTGGGTGTTATTGTAAAGTCAGGAAGAGGAAATAGAAGAGGAGCCAGCAACTGTTCAGCTGTAATTCTCATAGTCTCTGCCCATCACTAATTTGTTCTATACTTTGGTTTTTGATATGGTGCAATTGTTGATAAAGTGGTTTCTTGTCAGGAAAAATTATCTAAGACTTGGGACTTGGCTAAAGAAACTATGGGGTTATCTTTCAGTGGAGTGCTGGGCACTGTCAAGAGAACACTAACTGATTTTTGTAGGGTGTGTATACTTTTGATTGTCTCCTATTAACTGAGGCAAAATTCAAGGGGCAGGAAACTGGTAGTCATGCAAATGATTCTTGTCAATAGATGTACAAATGCTTCTGTCCAGTAGAGTTATAATTGACTTCTGCCCTGTAGAAAGAGAACCCTAGGGGCGCCTGGGTGGCTCAGTCGGTTAAGCATCGCCCTTCGGCTGGGGTCATGATCCCAGAGTCCTGGGATCGAGCCCCGCATCGGGCTCCTTGCTCAGCGGGGAGCCTGCTTCTCCCTCTGCCTGCCCCTCCCCCTGCTTGTGCTCTCTCTCTCTCATTCTGACAAATAAATAAATAAAATCTTAAAAAAAAGATAGCCCCAGTAGTATACATCATTTTCTTATGTAAGGTTAATCAGTTTCCCAACTATTAGCAATATTTATTTCAGCATTGCTGATTGCCTCTATAAATGACTGTCCCTCAAATTCTTCTTGAAACTGGTTCTTAGTAATTAAGTGTATTGATACTTTAGTAATTAATTGAATAAAATCTCAAATGTGTGCATTTGTATTTGTGTGTCAGTCATAATTTTACTTTCTTGAAACTTATACTTTAGCAGTATTGTGCCTTAACAGACAATGTGGGAAATGTAATAAAAGCAGAATTCTTTTGCCTACAATCTTTAAAGGAATTAATCTATATAGGTCATATATGACTATAAAGCAATTCCACTCTGCAGAAGCCAGCAATCTTAAATATCTTAAACCCAGGAAAGATCATACTACCCAACCCCTTACCTTAAAATAAAAACAATACTGTTAAAGACAAATTTTCAGACAATTTAGTCATGAGCAGATATCAAAGTTTTTGGCATTCTTTCAGGCATTTAGGAGGCTAATTCAAAGATTTATTCTTGGTGGGGGTATTTTATAGAAAAAGAGAACATTTTTATCATCCTCATAGATCAGATACATCAGTTAAAAAAATTTGGTAAAAAGGCACCTGATATTCCAATGGATGGATGAAAAACTCTAGATTCCCCAGACAAATCTTAATCCTACTAATCTTCATCAGCAAATGGCCTGTGCATTTTATTAAGAGTGCTAACTTTTTCCCAGGAGGAAGTTTTTCCCAAGTCTAGGTTTGGGACAATTTTTTGTTTACACTCTTCTTACAGTGAAGCATAAGAAAGTACACTAAAGTTCTGAATTTTCCTTGACTTCTTTAGTGCTTTCAAATAAACATAGCAAATTTTCAGTCCTTTTTGAATGTTTTTCTTCTCTTTTATGGCCCTGAGCAAATATTTAGTCCAGCTGACACAAGGTCCACAGTTAAACACAAAAGCCCTTTTATTGCACCCAGGTTTCGATTCCTCTCTTCAGAGTTGAATCTTACTGGCATCTTCTTGTTTCTTACAGATGTCCTGGGCACAAACAAGCAGACCTGTCTACAACTGTGATTATCTTTCTCCTTTTCATCTCTAGAGATGGCCCCTCCAACCTGACCACCTACCACAGATGAATGTGCAATGATATCCAGATGGAGGAAGAAGAGCTAGGACAATTTCTCCTCTGAGTGACTTGTCACTATTCAGGGTGACAAAGGGCTTGTCCGGTGCCTTTTCAGGAAGCCAGACAAAGCATTTCTGATGGAAAGAGGAAAAGCCAAGAGACACGACCCAGAGGAATTCCAACTTGTGGAGGGCCAGGCTGTCTCTGTTAGAGGATCAGAGAGCTGGACAGAGGAGAGCCCAGCTGAGGTCCCAGTGAACCTGAAATGGCTGTTTGCAAAACCCTGAAGGAGTTCATGAGTGCCGGGACTTATTTGCATGAGGCCCTGCGTTTGATTCCCAGGCATCTCCACCAAAACAAATACAAATGGAGGGAACTCTCTTACCTTTCTGAGAAGGTGAAGTGCCAGGGCAGGGGAATGAGGCCAACAGTGAGGGGTGAGGAAGAGTGGAGGGATGATTGGAAAGCCTTGTGGGTATGTGTCTGGGGGATGGCAAGGGTAGGAGGCCCAGATTCTGAGGCTGTGCTCCTCTTGAGGGCTGAGAGGACAAGTTTACCATTTCAAGCCAGCGCAGTTTTGGGACCTCTGAAGGCCTGGGTTCGTTCTCTTCTTTGAAGCCTCACCACACATCCTTCCAAACAAACTAAAATGTACTGAATGTACCGACATTCCACATTTCCTAAGTATAGTTTTTTCCCCTATAAAATAGTGGGTGTATTTATATAATTCTACTTTTGAAAATATTTGGCTGTAACTTTAATTTTTTATTGCTTTTCTTCCTAATCATGTTTACTTGCGATTTCTTACAAAGTGAGAAAATCCGATCTGTAAATTTTTTCAAATGCAAAAACATTTATGCATATTAAATGCAATGACAGATGAATTCACATATGAGATTTGGTACATTTAATTAGGCATTTATTAATTTCACATCTGTAGCCTTATTTTTAGTTTAGAGCAAAAAATGTTCCCCCTAGGTCTGTCTTAAGCGTTTTTTGTAGGCAGCGTTGTTCAAGCTCCTTGGCCCCAGGCCCTGTTTCTATGGTGCCTAATGGATAAAACAGCTTGCTTACCGTCTTCGGGCTTGATGGTTTGAGCTGCTTCCTGGAAATGTCATGAAAAACCTGCCTATCCCTTCGTGAGAATTCAGTGTGATGTCCATCCAGGGAAGAGGAGGTACAATGGAAAGAGGCAGCTCTCACCTTAGCTTTTTTTTTTTTTTTTTGCATTTTTTATACTTTTCTAATTTTAGCTCCGATATAATTAACATACAGTGTTCTATTTGTTTAAGGTATGCAATATAGTGATTCAAAATTCCATGCATCACCCAGTGCTCATCGCAACAAGTGCCCTCCTTAATCCCCATCACCTGTTCCCACCCCCAGCTCCCCATAACCAGCATTCTATAAAATTAAGAGTCTGCTTCTTGGTTTGTCTTTCTCTCTTTTTTCTCCTTTGTTCATTTGTTTTGTTTCTTAAATTCCACATAAGAGTGAAATCATATGGTATTTGTCTTTCTCTCACTGATTTATTTCACTTAGCGTTATCCTCTCTAGAGCCATCCATGTTGTTGTCACCCTGACATTTTTGGGCCATGGATGCCTTTGTTAGTCTGATGAAGCTCAGGGACCCCTTCTCAGAATAATGTTTTAAATGCATAAAATAAAACACGTAAGATTACAAGAAAGCCCACAATTATATTGAAATATAGTTACCAAAAAGAATGTTTGTGATATAATAATACATGAGTTTATTAATGTGGGAAATGACAAGACCTAGCTGTGGGCAGAATAACTACCATCATTCAAAGCAGCAACGAGTATACACAACATTTTGAGATATCAACACTTATTATGCTCTGATATGAAAATATTTGTTAATTTTATTGGTGACAATCATAGGTACTGATACTACTACTTGGGTTTATTGCTTATTTTGCAATGAAGGGAAATGTTACATTTTAATTAAAGGTTAATTAAATTGAGATGCAATTGGTTTATGTCATTATTTTTCACATCAGATTCACAGAACTCCTGAATTCTACCCATGACTGTGGACATCAAGTTAGGATCAATGGAAGGTAAGGGGTTCTCCACCATCATGAATTATTATGTGGGAAGATTATAGATACCAAATGACTCTCAAGCCTGACAGATTCTGGGGCTGAGTCTCTAACTCTCCTGATATAGTATCAGTTAGACAAAAAGTAAGTGCCTTTGAGTATTTGAGATGTTCAAAGAGATTTCCAATCTCTAGTTCAAGGCCAGAGCTAGGACTCTGAATTGTACTCTCTATTCTTTGGGTAGATGATCCCCAGACAGCTCTCCTTAGGTATCCTACCTTAGAAGTTTTTAATTTCTTCCTAAAATTTATTTCATCTGTAGCTCTAAAGTTCACATTTCACACCAAACTACCACTAACCCACCTTCCCATCCAACCATCCATCCTTCCTTCCATCCATCCATCCATCATCCATCCATCCATCCATCCATCCATCCATCCATCCATCCATTTAACCATACATTTTTTAACCATACATTTAATAATGATATTATGATGGAAAGACATGAATGTGTAAGTTATCTCCCTTGCTCATAACTTCATACAGGGAAATATCTACATTAGTACAAAGGATTATCTATGATAGAAACATCCTCTAGGATTATTAAAGCAAATCAAGTCACTTCACTATGCAGGACTAGTTTTAGGGCTAATTTGTGAAATATGCAGGCTATTTTTGGCTGGTCCTCAGTCCTGAAATCTCTAATGCTTGGCAGTAAACTCCCGCAGTCCACATGTAAGATGATACTCGTTTCCATGATTGCTCATTATCTTTTTCCTCTCTCCTCTCTCAGATGAAGACGGAAGAGCAGCCTGTACTTCCTGTTTGCTTTGTCAGAAAACAGCAATGACTTAATCTGCTGTGTCTGTGAGGCTTTGTTCTTTCATGTTCTAGGCTGTGGCTTAACCCTTCAGAACTCTCGTCTAGAGAGCCAGCTCCATGGAAACACTGACAAGTGGCTTCAGTTATGACACTTGAATTATGGCTCTTGAAGCAATGTTTTTCTTTCCCTTTTATTCTTACCCAAACAGCAATGAATCATGTATCACCTACTTCATTAGGGCCTACTTCATTAGCACCTTGCCCTTCTGGCCACACAGAGCAAAGTCAACAGCCTGAGGCCCCAGAACCCACAGCAGCACCTGTCAAAGCACGAGTCCCTGGTCACAGAACAGCTGAGCACTATTTATCTATCTCTAAAGGTTCCTACGATGTATGTGTGAGAAATCCCACCACCATGGTGGGGATCTGAAAATCCAGTGCTCGTGACATTATTGTTATGACTCTCTTCCCCGACCAAGAACATAGTCTGTGGTTCAGAATGATGGGGCTCCCCCTTTCCCTGTTAGCTTATCAGGTGGGTTGGTGACCAGTAATCCTGCCAAAAACCAGGCTGTCTGTCATCTTCTCCATATGGACTGGCCCTAGGGTCCATCTTCTCATTTCAGTTGGCTTCCTGTATCCATATATAGACTATGAGCAAGTACTTCACTACTTGACTTGGGTACTTGGCACATACCTTTCTTTATAACACTGAGCAGGCAGGGGCGCCTGGGTGGCTCAGAGGGTTAAGTGTCTGCCTTCGGCTCAGGTCATGATCCCAGGGTCCTGGGATCGAGTCCCGCATCGGGCTCCCTGCTCCTTGGGAGCCTGCTTCTGCCTCTGCTTCTCTCTCTCTCTCATGAATAAATAAATAAAATCTTAAAAAAAAAAACAGAACAAAACACTGAGCAGGTTGAGTCCTTACAGTTGGTGTAATGCCAAGTGGATTTAAATGCCCCTATAAACTATTCAAGAGCAGGGATCATGCCACTCATTTTATGTCTCCACTGAGCATGGGTGCCTGGTTGTGGCTCTCTATAAATATTTTGGAATGTGTATGTTAATTAAGGTATACTTTAGTTTTCTCCAATAATTCCTTTGTTCATGAACTCCCTTACCTACACATCTCTGGTCCATATTCTAGTTTGATCTATATTCTAGGCACTAACTTTACGTATATAATTTTTAATGCACTGATCATGCCTGTTTAAAAAAAAAAAGATCTGTTACGCATAAGAAAGTTGAGACCCAGAGAGTTTAACTTTCCCATGTTCAGGTAGCTGTTAAATTGCTGAACTTTTTTTCCTTAAGTTTATTTATTTTTTTTAGTAATCTCTACACCCAACCTGGGGCTCAAACTCATGACCCCAAGGTCAAGAGTCACATGCTCTTTGGACTGAGCCAGCCAGGTGCCCCTCAAGCGCTGAACGTCTTATCTAAGGGCTCAAACCCCAGTCTTTCTGAGTCTTGTTCTACCTTCCCCTCAGTATAAGGCAACGGTTCTCCAAGTGTGCTTCACAGGCTCCTGAAATGTCCCTGAGATTCTTGTCGGGATCCACAGGCCGAAACTATTTTCATAATAATACTGACCCTTTGGGCCTTTTTTTTTTTTTTTTTACTGTGTTGACAATTGCACCTTGCTGCAGAAGCAGCGGGGAGACTAGCCATTGCATTGTTCAGTGCCATGCCTTTGCAGGAAAACCAACCACGGGCTCACTTTAAAATGTCCTGATGATGGGTGCCTGGGTGGCTCAGTCGGTTAAGCGACTGCCTTCGGCTCAGGTCATGATCCTGGAGTCCCGGGATCGAGTCCCGCATCGGGCTCCCTGCTCGGCAGGGAGTCTGCTTCTCCCTCTGACCCTCCCCCCTCTCATGTGCTCTCTCTCATTCTCTCTCTGAAATAAATAAAATCTTTAAAAAATAAAAAAATAAAAAATAAAATGTCCTGATGAAGCTATACAAATTAATTTTATTAAACCTAGGCCCTTGAGTGCACATCTTTTTAATATTCTGTATGACAAAATGGGAAGTACACACAGAGCGCTTGTGCAGAATTCCAAAATATGATCTATGTCTTAAGGAGAGCATTTGTGTGATTGCTTGAGATGTGACCTGTACCTGCTGCTTTCTTCATAGAACACCATATTCGCCTGAAGAACAACTAATAGACAAACTATGGTTATTCGGTATTTCACAGAAATTTTCTTGAAAATGAATGGAGTGAGCTTAAACTATCAAGGAAACCAACTGACAGTATTTATTACCGATGACTAAAATTGAGCTTTCAAGAGAAAGAATTTTGGAAACCCGTGTCTGTCACTGTGACTTTGATAGTTTCCCAAACACTTATAACCTTAACTTTTCTGATGAGATTCGTGGTGAAATTAACCAGAAGATTTATCCGATAAGAGATATGAAATGTGTTAACATTTGGAAGATCTAGATTTTCTAAAAGACAAACACTGTTACAAATCATGCATAGATAAAGTATCCACTCAAAAAAACAAGGCTAGACCAATGGATTTTAATATAACAGAGTACGAACAGTTCATCAATGTGATTTTTAAAAAAGATTTATTTATTTATTTGACAGAATGAGAGAGAGAAAGCGCACAAGCAGGGGGAGAGGCAGAGGGAGAGGAAGAAGCAGGCTCTCTGCTAAGTAGGGAGCCCGATGCAGGGCTTGATTCCAGGACACTGAGATCATGACCTGAGCCAAAGGCAGATACTTAACCCACTGAGCCACCCAAGCACCCCCATAAATGTGAGCTTTTTAAAAAAGATTTTATTTATTTATTTATTTAGAGAACACAAGCGGGGGGAGGGGAGGGCAGAGAGAGAGAGAGAATCTTCAGCCGACTCTGTGCTGAGCACAGAGCCTGACATGGGGCTCGATCTCATGACCCAAGATTATGACCTGAGCTGAAATCAAGAGTTGGACGCCCAACCAACTGAACCAGCCAGGCACCCCCATTGATGCCATTTAAGAAACTACAGCTTGTAGAATTTGGGTGTAGAATTTAAGAGCAGCCACAATTATCTAAAAAGGCTATTAAAACACTCCTCTTTTCAACTACGTTTTTGTTTGAAGCTGAATTTTCTTCATAAGCTTTAATCGTGACAACATATCGGAATGGGTTGAATGCAGCAAATCTGAGAGTCCAACTGTCTTCTAGTAAGCCAGACATTAAGAGATTTGCCAAAATGTAAAGCAGCGCCACCCTTCCTACTATTTTTTTGAATATGTACTTACTTCTCATTAAAATATATTATTGTGTTAACATATAATAGGGTTAAAATTATTTTAATGAATTAATAAATATTTCAAAATTTTTTCCAGTGTTAATTTCTAATAAGGTCCATATTGATAGATAAAATAATAAAATTTCTTTGTGGGTCCTCAATCGTTTTTCATAATGAAAAGGGATTTCAAGGCAAACAGTTGGGGATGCTGTGGAGGAATGCACGCATGACAGGAAGGGACAGGAACCAAACACATAAGGCAGAATGCTTGGAGGTCTTTCCCATTCATAGGAGACTGTGGTGAAATCAGTCATACATTCCATCTTTTTTCTCAATAAGTTTTGTGATTAAAGTGGCCAAGGCTAATTGTTACAGCAGGTTAAAAGCTTAGACCCCAAAACACAGAAGGAAGAAAGAAGACTATCTTTCTCTCAATTTTTTTTTTGGCTTCTGTCCAGCAAATCTCGTCCCACCACATGCAGCGAACACTTACCTGCTGACCCCCATGCGCAGTAGGAACCCGTGCGTTCATCCCCCAATGCCCCAGCGTGTGCTCTGTGTGGGACTCTGCGTACCCTTTGCTTTTCCCATTGCCTTGCAGGTAGTGCCATGCATTCCTCAGAAAGTAGCTGTCATTTTAGCACATGTCTGGGTGGCTTTTCTCAGCTGATACACACAGTAAAACAAAACGAAACAAAACACAAAGTCATTGCAGTGGAAAACAAGCTGGATGGTACGTAGTTTTAGGCACATAGAAGGTACCATCGGCTAGTTGTTAGAGCAGATGGATTGAATTTTGGTGATTTTATGTAAGAGGCCTATCACAGTGTTACCTTAGCTGACCCAAAATATCCACTGCTATGCCCACTTTATATGTTTTTGAGGAAGAGCACTGGGATTACGATAACTGAACTAGCTGCTTTTTCCATGGAACACCATATTTTACTTATAGAACAACTGACAAACTATGGCTATTCAGTATTTGGCAGACATTTTCTTGAAAAGAAATGGAGCAAGCCTACACTGACTACATTCTTACTGAGGAATGACTTTTTAAACCATGTGACTTTTGGTCACACATAATCCCACCCTCTGGAAGTACTCCTTTGTCACTTTGTATATCAGTATGATTTGGCCCAACCAACTCATGAAGCAGTGATGTGTACGTGGGAAACTCATAATGATGTATCACAACAAAGCCTCGCAATACTTCCTGGAGGAAATACAGGTGTCCCCACTATCTGAACGGAGAGCATTCCTATGAAATCTCTCATAAACCAAAACGGTGTAAAGTGAAGAACTGATTATCGTACATTTAGATGGAAAAGGTTTTGAGCATTCCAGGACCCAAAAAATAACCTCTCTTAGGCTTTTCTTTTCTTTCTTTTTTTTTCAAAGATTTTACTTATTTATTTATCAGAGAGAGAACGTGCGCACAAGCAGGGGGAAAGGCAGAGGCAGAGGGAGAAGCTGACTCCCGGCTGAGCAAGGGGTGCCATGCAGGACTCGATCCCAGAACCCCGGGATCATGACCTGAGCCGAAGGCAGACACTTAACCGACTGAGCCACCCAGGTGTCCCTCTCTTTGGCTTTTCTGATACCTTAGGACACATCTTGCTAAGGGATGCACAAAATAAATGGAGATAAAGCGCAGATGCTGGCAGACACCACTCAAAGCTCAGGCAGCTGGATGCAGAGAAGCGGAGAGCAGGTCCCAGGAAGGAGCTTGGCGGGGCCACTCGCGCTGCTCTGGGGCAGCTGCCTCTGTAACCTCGCGGCAAGACAAACACTGGATGTGCTAAATGCTATTTTTGCTTTTCACCTCTTTTCATAAAAGCAAAGATCCTCTTCGGATTTCTTTCGGTTAGTGAAAACAGGTACTTATGTCGGTCTTCTGTGTAAATGAAGTGGTGTAAAGTGAACTTTCAGAAAGTGAGGGATACCTGTATTCTAGTTGGACAAAAATATGCAGGATGAAAACATGGGGTGATTTCATTGGCCTCTCTGCCAATAAAAAATTTTATGTGCCTAGCGGTGATGAGGTAGGCTATAAAAACAATTCATAGATAGACTGATTTTCTTTTTTTTTTTTTTAAGATTTTAATTATTTATTTGACAGAGAGAGAATGAGAGAGCACATGAGAGGGGGGAGGGTCAGAGGGAGAAGCAGACTCCCTGCCAAGCAGGGAGCCCAATGCGGGACTTGATCCAGGGACTCGATCCAGGGACTCCAGGATCATGACCTGAGCCGAAGGCAGTCGCTTAACCAACTGAGCCACCCAGGCGCCCCGATAGACTGATTTTCAATAGTCCTGTCCATTTCTTTCCACGAACGTGTACCAAACGCCCATTAAGTGTGAGTACTAGAGTTACACAGTTCAATGAGACTGCTTCTAGGTAGTTACTTAGAGGAGAGGCAGATTTATAAGTAAAGAACTATAATCCTGGGCAATGAGTGCCATACTTAAGTGCAACCAAAGCACAGAAAAAATGAGGTATCCCTTCTTTCAAGTGTTTGCAGTCCTAAGCTATGGGTAGAAAACTAGACTTGAGTTTGAGGGAGTCAAAATTCTTGAGCAGTCCAGTGAAGTAGACATACAGGTATGAATTTAGGAGCAACCTCACATGTCACTGCATCACAGAGCCAATGGATGCCCATTCTAGACCTTGTTCTAGCTTGGGGTGAATTTTTAATGACACTAAGCCAGCTGAGCTAGAGGTTGCCACACTTTCCAGGCCACCTGCTGATCCTTTAGTAGTGGTGGGAGGAAGCTGTTAGCTCATCATCCTGCTGCAATTCCCGCCCCCACCCCCTAACCACTGTTTGTAGGCTAGCTCCCAGCCTAAGAGCTCCCTGGATAAAGCCAGTCCAGAGCAGTGCCTGGCTGGCTCAGTCGGTAGAGCATGTAACTCTTGATCTTAGGGTTGTAAGTTCAAGCCCCACGATGGGTATAAAAATTACTTAAAACAAACAAAAACCCCCCACCCAGTCCAGAGATTTAAAGTAGGATCATGTTGTGTAGGAATAGAATTGTTCCTCACTGCCTCAGTCAACTGGCTTTGTGAAATCTGAAGAGTCGGTCATTCCTGGTCCTTTGATAACTTCCTAGTATTACAGACGTGACTGTATTGTTATTCATGCTCACCGTGAACTATAATACATAGCATCTTTGTCTTCAACAAAGGGTGTGGCTTCAGGTTGAGCCAATTGTATTAAGTGGCAATAATGGCCACCTTTAGTGCAACCAATAGCTATCCCATAAACAGGTGATGGTGAAGAGTCTGGCAAATAAAAGAGAAGCAAAAAGGTAACTGATGGTTCCTTTTTCTGTGTCAACTTGGCGAGGCCACAGGATCCAGAGATTTGGTCAAATACTAGTCTAAATGTCACTGTGAAGCTATTTTCTAGATGATACTAACATTTAATTCAGCAGACTTTGAGTAAAGCAGATTTGCTTTATTTATGTGGGTGGGCCTCATCTAATAAGTTGAAGGCCTTAAGAGACAAAAGACCAAGGTTTCCAGAAGAAGACAAAATTCTGCCAGCAGACTGCCTTTGGACTCAAGCTGCAACATCACCTTTGCTCTGGGTCTCCAGCCCGCCAGCCTGCCCTGCAGATTCCGGACTTGCCAGCTTCCAAAATTATGTGAGCCAATTCCTTAAATGAATTTCTCTATCTATATACAGATCCTATTGGTTCTGCTTCTCTGGAGAACCCTGACTAATGCAGTAACACACCACAATTTGGAAAAAGTGGGGTAAGAGATGGTAGTTGGGGAGGGGCTTAGAAGAATGTGACTTACTCTGCTCAATCGCAGGGACTACAGATGTCTTATGAGTTCTTCTGCTCTTTAATTGGCTGGGCCCCTAATGAATTTGTCTTCTCCCAGCTGCCTGGGGACTCCTTTGGTCACCACACTCCCCATTCTCTTCCTTTTTCCTATATCCATTTAATTTCATTTAAATTCAAATATATGCACCTCCTGAATATATTATAGATGTGTTGATAAGATTTCATAAAGAGCTACCATTGGGGAATGCATGAAATAACTTACAAAAACCTTTCCTTGTTGTTTTTGGATGAAGAACTGGGTGAAGGAAACAGGTGTTATGAGACAGAGGAAGTCTTCTGGATCTTGTGTTGCAATCTCTGTACTTTTCCTATTAGAAAGCTTTTTACGTTCAGGATCTGCTACCCTCAGGTCTAGAATTTTCTTGTATTCCATGGGGATTTTGAGAATCACATTCCTGAGAGAAATGTACTTTCCTGATGGTTCTAGAGCAATCTGTAAAGCCGGAATCTCAAGCACCGTTCGTGATACTCCCTGGGAGAAATGAAGACCAGAAGAGGACCAACAACGAGAGGCAGACACAGTTTCCTGGGATACAAGTGAGGGGAGCTGGAGGTACGTTAGACCAACCCCATGTAGCTTCTGCATTAAAGAGCTTTATTGACAATTCCAGAAAGAATGAAATGTAAAAGATATCCATTAATTGTTGTCAAAACACATTTTTGGAGTTGGATTTCAGCCATGCCCCTTTGCCTGTCCATGAGATTCCTAGCGAGCCTGTCCATGGGCTGTATTAGGGAGAGTTCGAGACAGACTACAGCAGTCCTAGGAACGATCGCTTCCTACTTCTCTGCTTTCAATTTCCTAACTTCAAATGTGAGCTGTCTGTTCCAACACATAGCTTGCAGTCAGCAGTCTCAGTTACACATAACTCACCAAAAGCAGATGTGCATAATAAATCTTTATTTTTCTGTAACTGTAATTTTTAGTTTGGGTCCCCATCCACATAAGTGGGAGAAATTTAATTGCAGCCAATTGAGGATTCCCATCTTTTACCCTTAAGCTTGTGCCTAAGCTTAATAGCCCAAGGCCCCCATCTGGTCCCAATGGTATCTGTCCTCACTGACATCCTCTGAAACAACCATCCCTCTGTCCAATCCTTGGTTGTCCTTCTATGCAGCCCACTATGGAGACGTTCTTATTCTTATCCACATGGCCCTTTAAGTCTGGTGGCTTTCTCTGATACTTCCGTGCCACTCTTGTCTCAAAGGAGTTATTCTCTTCCTCGGAAGACATGCTTTCCTTTGTAGAGTGTTCTTGTTTCCTTGTCAGTCTAGTCAGGAAACAGGCCCATTTGATTTTGGATTCCACAGACTATCTGCAGGATCCCAGGGAGCAAGTGAGGAATTGATCCTACCTACCATTTTTAACTTTCCCTCTGAACACATATCCTACCCTCAGAGGGTGGGAATGACTTGTTGAATTCACAAAAAGCATCCTCCCAAGTCCTTTGTCTATACCACTTGTCTTTCTGACCCTTTCTATTAGTGCAGAGTGGGGCAAAGATCAATCCTGAGTGGGCAAGGAAATGCTGAGGGGAAAACTGGTGTCTCAAAAACATAATACTGCATCATCCTTCAGTTGAGAGGGAGATCGTGGGAACACAGAGAGTAAGTTGTCTTTTTTTTTTTTAAGATTTTATTTATTTATTTGACAGAGAGAGACACAGCGAGAGAGGGAACACAAACAAGGGGAGTGGGAGAGGGAGAAATAGGCTTCCCACGGAGCAGGGAGCCCGATGCGGGGCTTGATCCCAGGACCCTGAGATCATGACCTGAGCCGAAGGCAGACGCTTAACAACTGAGCCACCCAGGCGCCCCGCGAGAGTAAGTTGTCTTTAAAGAGAAGTTATCCCAAGGAAAGAAGGAAAAAGAGAAAGAATCGAGAGATGAGTTGGGAACATTAGTTTATCAGGAAACAGGTGACCATTCTTAGCCTTTTACCCTACTCCTTGAGTTTGCTTGATGGGAATTTTCAGGAGTGAGATATGTTACTATTTTGCTACTTTATATCTAATTATCAAATATGTCAGATTTCTAGCACATAAGTGGATTTTGTAACTCAATGAATTTTTTTATTAAATGAATGAACGATAAAAAGCCATGGTCATAACTGGATATATGAAATCAGCACAAGGTTAGATGAGCAGGAAGAGCTTCACAAACGTTACTGTTTGAGGGATGTCTGGGTGGCTCAGTCGTTAAGCGTCTGCCTTCAGCTCAGGTCATGATCCCGTGTTCCTGGGATCGAGCCCCATGTCAGGTTCCTGCTCTGCGGGAGGCCTGCTTCTCCCTCTGCCTCTGCTCCTCCCCGCTCGTGCTCGTGCTCTCTGTTTCTCTCACTCAAATAAATAAAGTCTTTTAAAAAATGTTACTGTTTGAAAAATTGAGATGAAAAATTAATTTGATATTTTCTTTTTCTCGAGTGGTCGTTAATAATCCTGGGGGCAAGTATGTATATATTAGAGAACTTATTTCATTAACAGGATTCAGCCAGGCACTTGGATACTGAATGTTGACATGGAAAAAAAAAAAAAAAAAAGCCAACCAACTACTCTGCAGAGCTGCGTTCGGGATACTGGACTTTAACTCTTTGATTATAGGTACTACCACCACGGTGAGCTGACCTGCAAGATGGATCATTGAGATCAAAGGCTGGAAGTTATGATGTTTGCCTTTTAAAGAGTAAATGCTATTCTGACTTTCATAGTTTGCAGTTCCAACTGGAAGTGATAACATGGATTCATGGTATCTGCCTTGGTTTCTGTTCTCTGCCATTCTCCTCATGGTTCCTGGCTTGGTAAGGAAACAATATTTGGAAAATGATTAGAAAAATTGGGGGCCAATTGCCTGTTTGTCCATTTCTTGTTTTTTAGGAATTTCAAAACATTAATGAAAGGAGTGTTTCGTTTGGGGCCAGCAAGGGACAGGCAGGGTCATAGGGAGTGAGAAGAAGCCCCCCCGGGGGAAAGAGTCGGGGATATTGACATAAAGTTATATATTTCTTTCAGTTTCATTTTTGTATAGCAAGTTTTCTTTTGATAACATGGAAAATGCGAAATGTGACAACCATTCCATTTTTACTGCTGAGTGAAATGCATTTTGCTGTTACCGTGACATGAGACACGAATGGAGTGAATGATGAATGTCACTGGCAAAGCAAACACTTACAGTTTTGTAGCATGGGGTTTCTCTTCTGCTTCTTTGTCCATTTTGACCAATCTTGCTACAGTGACAGGTAGTTTGAACCACAGACCAGCTCAGGGTTTTAAATGAAGTTTCAAATGCCTCGGGGAGAGGGGGCGGAATTTAGTTGGGATTTAAAAATAAGTGATTATATTGAGTTGATATTCCGTAAATGGGATCTACAGCATTGAAAACAAGAGATACCATTTAAGATACATTAAAATTGCAGTTACGCACCAATACTTTTCCATTGGGTGTCTTGGTATTCCTCTGTGAGTGTGAGACAAATAGGGCACTTGTTAACGTCAAAAAGAAGGGTAAACTATCCAATCAGTTAATTCCCACTGCTTGCCAAACAGTCCATAGGCTTCTGGTATTTGTCTATGTAAGCCATATTAACCAGTTTTACAGACAGTCTGAGTTTCGGGAGGGTGAGCTGACTTACTCTGAGTTGGTGGAACCAGGAATATGACCCACACCTACTGTCTGCCAGGCCCATGAGCTTTTTCACTAGACTCCACTAAGACATTTCTCAGGTTTACTTACGTTTTTCTATTGGGTGGGTATTCTGGGTTTTTCATGTGATCACTTGTAGAACCTATTTTCAGAAGTTTGCTATTTTTTTTAAAGTGTTTTTTTTTTAATTGCAAAGTATACCCATTGATTTTTTTTTCCTTAAACATTTGGTATTGTCTTTGAAAGCAGTGTTGAGAAAAATGTGAAAAAAAACCATGATTAATGAGGTCTTCGATAAAATTTCTTTAGAAGGGATTGTAATAAATTACAATAATGTTTCAACAATGAGGATAAATTATTAGGTTTTTCAAACATTGCTCCCTGAATCCTTTAGAGAATCATGTTTAAGGCGAATGTTTATCTGAGGGCTGGAGTCTTATGTTCTGCCTTCTTTTCAATCTGTGAAATTGGTTTCTTGTTTCTTTCACCTTCAAATTCATATAACAGCCAGTTTCATTTTTTTTTATATGAAATAAGAAGACCCTTTGGTCAGAAAGTTATTATAGACTCCAAATTAGCTGTCTTGGATATAAGCCAGAAAGTAATACATAATATTAATAAAAAAAAAAAACACAAATTTGGGCGCCTGGGTGGCTCAGTCGGTTAAGCAGCTGCCTTCGGCTCAGGTCATGATCCCAGGGTCCTGGGATCGAGCCCCACATCCAGCTCCCTGCTCATCTGAGAGCCTGCTTCTCCTTCTCTCTCTGCCTGCCACTCTGCCTACTAGGGCTCTATCTCTCTGTCAAATAAATAAATAAAATCTAAAAAACAAACAAACAAACCCACAAATTGCTAGATATAAATTGGAACCAAGAAGATCACTTATGTCATGGGTGTCATAATAATGCCTTTTTTTTATGTGTTTGTTTCTCAGCCAACTCAAGAAAACTTTGGTGAGTCTATTTTGAGTTTTTGCTCCAAGTTATAGTAAAAGAAAGTTATGTGGATAATAGAACAACAAAACAGAAGAACTAAGGACACATTTAATGTGAAGCACAATGCATAATTGCATAAGCATAATTTTATAATTGCTTTGAACTTTAATCAAACACTGCCTTCTTTTGATTTATTGAGGAATGTTTTATTGTTCTTGTTCCAGGGTTCCACATACCAAGCAAAAAAATAAATGGTGACATAGGAAAGTCTAAACACAATGACAAACACAAGACATCCCATCAATGCTTGCTATTATTACTTTTGCTATTTTGTATAAACTCAGATAGACCTGATGTCCATCCTATTCTGTTGTACACTTAGAGATTTGGCTATATTATCCACTCCTTTGTAACTTAAAAGAGTAATTCAAATTTAAATAAGTAATTCTGCTTCAGAGTTCCAAGGTATGTTACTAGCAAGGGATATATTGGGCAGATTGTACTGGTTTGACCAAATTTAAACATTCACTTCCTATTTAATCTAATCATCTAGTCTAGTCTTTAAAATTAAGTTTAATACTATATAGAGTGACCAATTTCTTATTCCTGAAGTCATCTGGCATTCAAGGGACATGGATAAGATAAGAGCATATATGCAAAAGCCCCATAGCCCCAAGCCTGGCTCATGAGAGGTTCTCAGTCAATCAACCAATCAATCAATCAATCAATCAATGTATATTGAATCAGAACCTGTTCTCCATCAGTCAATCAATCAATCAGTGTACATTGAATCAGAACCTAGTAGTCACTTACTGAGGCAAAAGAACCTTACTTACTTTTAATTTGGTAATTGATGAAGATTGTCTTCTTTCATAAACATGATGTTCATTGTGGTTTTCTTTGTTCCTTTAGTTAAAGATGTAGATGGTGGACTCGATCAAGATATATTTGATATCAATGAAGGTTTGTGGATTTTTTTTTACATTTTTTATTAAGTGGAGAGTTCGAATCCAGTTTGCTAACATGAATTTTTATCTTCCCTCTTAGATTTGGGACTGGATCTTTTTGAGGGGGACATCAGACTTGATGGGGTGAGTTGAAAAAAAGCAAGGAAGAATCTTCTGTTAATTACTGCAAACCAAAATACAGAATATCTGAGTATGATTGGGCAACATGGGCTTTGTTAAGCCCAACTATCTCTAAGGGTACCGAGTCCTGGTGACAGATTTATTCAATGAATATATTATACTCTGAGAGACTCCCATAATAGTGCCTTCATCAGCCATTCCTCAGATTTCTGTGTGGTTAATGCCACCATCACCCACCATGTATGCCTTGGTCTTATTGATCTGATGGATTTTCATTATTGGAACAATATGATGTTTTCATTTTTAAATAGAACCTCACTGATTTCATCTAGTTGAAGCAAAATTAAACTGAATTTGTAAACGTCAATGAATCGGGCTTTTTACCATAAAAGATAGATTTTGTGACTTCAATCCTGACAGCTAAAGATAGTGTTGCCAAGTAAAGATCCTCCCAAATCTATGCATGAAGAGTACATGGCACACAGATGAACACAGGTACCTTACAGATAGTTTAAGTCAAACCTCCACTGGGAATTTCAACTCAAGAAGCAGAGCTGCAGTATCCAATGGTTGGTCTTGGGCTCTTCTATCTGTACTCTCCTTCTTGATCTCACCTTGTGACAGGGTTTGACATGTCATCTCTATGCTGATGACTCCAAATGTGTGGCTCTCATTCATTCCTTCTGCTGCACTCCAGACTGGTCTATCCAGGTGCCAATTTGTCAGTTCCGTTTCTGTGTCTATGAGGAGCCTCAAATGTAAGGTGTCCTAAACTGAACTCAGATTTTTCAAGCAAACTGCTCCTCCCAGATCTTCCCTCTTAGCAAAATCATCCCCCTACTCCCCTGAATAAGTAAAAACTCCAGGAGTCACCTTTGCTTCTGCCCTTTCTCTCACCCCAGCATCTGATCCATTAGCAAGTGCTGCCATTTCTGTCTGCAACGCCTGCCCCAAATAACCCACTTTTCTCCTAATTTGTCTCTCTATTTCAAATATTGCTCCCCTATAATCTTTTCCACCCTGTCCCCACTTCCCATCCCCCCCCTCCCTGCCCACAGCAAAGTGGTCTTTTAAACAGGCAATGGCACCATTTCACTTCCTGGCTTGAAACTCTTCAGCAGAGTGGCTCAGTCGGTTAAGCATCTGCCTTTGGCTCAGGTCATGATCCTGGGGTCCTGGGATCGAGTCCTGCATCGGGCTCCCTACTCAGCGGGGAGACTGCTTCTTCCTCTCCCTCTGCTCCCCTGCTCCTGCTCTCTCTCTCTATCTCAATAAAGAGATAAAATCTTTTTTTAAAAAAACAACAAAACTCTTCAACAACTTCCTGCTGCATGTAGAATAATATCCAAATTTACCCACAGCCTTCAAGACCTGCATAATTTAACTCCTGACTATCTGTCCTTCCATCTCCCCCACTTCTCTCTTATCTCATCTCTTTTTTCTCCTAATTCATGAGGCTACTGGCCTCAAAACAGATTAGAACATACCAAGTGTTATTCCCACCTCAGAACCAGAGCAACCCTCCACTACCATTAAATGTATCCTGCATAAACTTACTTATTTTCTTGCATTTTAAATTTCATTTATTTCTTGATTAACTATTCATTGTTTCCCAAGTTTTTGCCTGATTCATCAAATAACCCTTCACATTTATTTTTGACAGGCACAAGATAGAAATTCTATCATTGGAGAAGAATACAGATGGCCTCATACCATTCCATATGTTCTAGAAGATAGCTTGGGTTAGTATATACCTTGGAGTATGTGTAACTGATGTATGTTCCTGACAGAATATAATCACAGTATTTTCTTTCTTTGGTTCTTTGGTTCTTTGGTTCTTTGGTTCTTTCTTTCTTTCTTCTCCTTCCTTCCTCCCTCCCTCCCTCTCCCTCCCTCCCTCCCTCCCTCTCTCTTTCTTTCTTTCTTTCAAGATTTTATCCATTCATTTGACAGAGAGAGAGAGAGCACAAGCAGGGGGAATGGCAGGCTGAGGGAGAGAGAGAAGCAGGCTCCCACTGAGTAGGGAGCCCGATGTGGGGCTTGATCCCAAGACCCTGGAATCATGACCTGAGCTGAAAACAGATGCCCAATTGACTGAGCCACCCAGGTGCCCTATAATCACAGTATTTTCAAGGGTGAGCTTGCATGGTCTTTAAAGGTTTGTTGCTTTATGGGCCCATGAACATTTACTTATAAAAATAAGCAAAATGAATAATGAAAAGAACCTAAATGATTTTGTCTGAAATAGTTGCTGCATTCTGACCAAGAAAGGGATTAATGCAACCAACATTCATGGAGAGCCTACTCTGTATTGGGTGCTGGGGACATAAAAGTCAGGGAATTAGTCTTTATTTGAAAGTAGTGGTTTCCCATATGTTCAGATTTTACATACAAGTTAAAAACATGAAACAACAAAAAAAAATATTTTAGGACCTGGCCTAAATCCATTAGCAAGTTCTGCCATTTCTGTCTGCAATGCGTGCCCCAAATAACCCATTTTTCTCCTAATTTGTCTTTCTATTTCAAATATTGCTCCCCTATAATCTTTTCCACCCTGTCCCTGTCCCCACCTCCCATGCCCCCCACAGCAAAGTGGTCTTTTAAACAGGCAATGACACCATTTCACTTCCTGGCTTGAAACTCTTCAGCAGGGTGGCTCAGTCGGTTAAGCATCTGCCTTTGGCTCAGGTCATGATCCTGGGGTCCTGGAATCGAGTCCCGCATTGGGTTCCCTACTCAGTGGGGAGACTGAGTTTACCAAATAAAATGTTTACCAACATTTTATTTTACCAAGTCAGGAACTTACCCAACTATAAGAACCCACTATCTTTATCATCATCTTTTCATAAAATAAAGAAAATTTCAATAGTAAAAAATCAGAAGAATCCAATCCAAAATTAAGGACAGCTTTTCTCTAGAAGAAATTTAATTGTAATGGAAAACTGTAAACATGGTCCTCATTTTATTTATGGTACCAGTTACCAGAATCACTTTGGGAACTGTCTTTTGGGAAACTTTTCTTAAAGTTCACACATTTCAGTGGAGATTCAGATATGCCAAGAGTTCATTATAATAGAATGGAATAAACATTTTGCTTAGTGATAAGTTCAAAAGCCATGGGAGCACGTTGGAGGGGCATTGAACTCAACCTAGATATAAAGGCATATGCATCAGGAAGCAGCTGACACTGCAGCAGGGCGGCCATGAAAATTATGCAAGTTATACACAATACATCGGTGCCTGGGCGGGGGGTGAAGTGGGACTGAAATCAAGTTTGCATTTTGTTCATCAAGACGCATTTGTTACTTTGCATGAAGTGCTATTTATCTACCTGCCAAATCAACACTTGCTGCATCTGCCCAGACGAGGTGCTTCTTTGTAATCTGCAGGAAGGCATTGTGTGGGCCAGTACCCCCTCTGAATGCAAGGGAAGGGTGCTCTAGGCAGATGAGTCACTATGTGCAAAGGCATGAGGAAAGGAGAAAACCCTTAACTGGAATCTAGATTGGAAGTGGGGAGTTAATGAGGTTGAACAGGTAGGCAGGATCTAGATTGGAAAGGCTTGAGTGTGTCCCACGTTAAAGAACTTGGTGCCTACTGATGGTGATGTGGGGCCTCCAACGGTTTTAACGTGGATGTGAGATTGTGATCCTGCTAGTTGCAGTGTAGAAGAAGCAAAAAGAAAGTAAGGAGATTAATGAGGAGATGATAGAAGAAATTCTGTCAGACGCTTAACCAACGGAGCCAGCCAAGCACCCCTGAAGCAATGGTTCTTAAGCCTAATTTGGGCCCTGAACTCACTTGAGAAGCTCACGAACAGTCTCCCCAGGAAACACACTTTGCGGATATAGATATAGACTGACACGGATATAGATGATAGATGATATAGATACAGAACAGATATAGATGATATAAATACAGATATAGATACTTCACATACAAACATATTCATGGACTCTCCCATCTCAAAGTCCTCCAATTAAAAGCTCTGCTGTGGGGCTTTAAATACATACTATAGCTTCTCAGATGAGGCCTGTGACAGTGAGTGTTCACTTTGGCTGCCTGTGATCCAAGGTATATGTTCTCTGAGGTAAGGAAATGTCTTTTTTGTTCTTCTGTAATGTACTCTTTAAGGGTTCCAGAGAAATAAAAATGGGGCAAAATCAGGGATTTGAAGAATAATCAAATCTTGTATATGATACATACTTAATTTATACAGAATACTAAATTTGGTCAAAATAAAATGCTACAGGGACGCCTGGGTGGCTCAGTCGGTTAAGCGGCTGCCTTCGGCCCAGGTCATGATCTCAGGGTCCTGGGATCGAGTCCCATATCGGGCTCCTTGCTCAGTAGGGAACCTGCTTCTCCCTCTCTCTCCCTCTGCTTGTGCTCTGTCAAATAAATAAAATCTTTAAAAAAAAATAAATAAATAAAATAAAATGCTACACATTCACGAAGGGACTGACTCATAAGTAATATATTGCATAGCCTGTTTCCATGGTGAATCGTTCAACGGTGATAATGTTAATACGTGTATTTTTTGTTGGTTTTCTTCCATCAGAAATGAATGCAAAGGGAGTTATCCTTAATGCATTTGAACGCTATCGCCTAAAATCATGCATTGACTTCAAGCCTTGGGCTGGAGAAGCTAACTATGTATCAGTGTTTAAGGGCAGCGGGTAAGGTGGAGAGTTTGTCTTCTAGGGGTTCAAATGAGAACGTTGCAGCTGTGACCTGTTCCAACAATTGTCCTAGGCCCTGACCTTGAGGTGGGTGGGGGGCTTCCTTAGCCATTTGCTGGAGAGTAAAAGACAAATGGTATTTAGTGTCTCTAGCTATAAATATAATACATATTTTTTAAAGATTTTATTTCTTTATTTGACGAGAGCGCAAGCAGAGGGGAGGGGCAGAGGGAGAGGGAGAAGCAGGCTTCCCGCGAAGCAGGGAGCCCGATGTGGGACTCGATCCCAGGACCCTGGGATCATGACCTGAGCCAAAGGCAGACACTTAATGACTGAGCCACCCAGGCGCCCCTAAAAATAATGTTTTCATACATGCAACTATATTAAGACCAGGAGGGTGGGATTGCATGCCATGCATCCCACAACTCAGGGAACTTCAGCCGTTTGTAGCTGACATCCTCCTTCTTTCCCTCTTCCGGTAAAACACGTGTGTAGGTGCACGCGTGTATGTGTGCACGCATGTGTATCTCAATTTATTTTAACCTAACTACACTTCCTACTTGAGTTAAACTGACAGTGTTATTTGCCCAGAGCTCAGCAATTCTGCGTGGTTGCTATACCTATAAAAACCTTATTAGCAGTCATCCACATACCAAGGACAATGCGAAGAACTTAGAAATTTCCAGGAAAAAATCCGGACTAGGTTGATTGGGGGATGACTTGCTCCTATGTAATAGTTGATGCCGGGGTCAGATCTCCAAATATCATCTGGTCTGTAAGGTTTCTCATAGCTTGCCAGGGTTAAGAGAGAAATGCAATGTCCTGATTATAAGAGTGAAGGATCTAGGTGGGTAACTGAGTGGACTGGGCCCTGGGGATTTTACTCTGAGCCACCATGAGAACACCCTCTCCCCCTGTCCTGTGAACTCTCCTGTAAGCTGCTGGTCTTCAGTGGGAAACAGGCACGTGGGGAAGCAACAACTCTCCATCGGGCAAAACTGCGACAGAATAGCAACAGTCCAACACGAGTTCCTCCACGCACTGGGATTCTGGCATGAGCAGTCACGTTCTGACCGGGATGACTATGTCAGCATAATGTGGGACAGAATTCTGTCAGGTACATTTCTTTTGTTTTCTTACAGTCTTTTTTTCTGTTAAAAACTGAATTTCTAAGCATGTGCCGTCTCTTGCCAACTCTTAATAATGGAAAAACTGATGTCTTGATGTTTGACTTCTGTAAGCTTTAGAGACCAGATCCACCTCACTATTTCCACAAAATCATCCCATTTCAAGTTGCCATCCATTGCCCGTTAGTGTGATCCTAAGCAACTAGGTATCCTCTCTAAAGGTATTTGCGTACCATATAACTTGCATACATATTCCAGTAACCATGAAACCGCCGGCTATGTCATTTCCTTCTGATGACTCCTGTCTGTGCTATCATTCCCAGGTGTCTCCCCACCACGCCTCTCAAAGGCCTTTTACCTCCATCTCCATCTATTGTGGGTGCCCCCACCCTCCCATCAGCACCTGCCAGTGATCCTGACTGTCCCGACACCACCATTGAGAATCTACCTTTCCATTAGCTGTTCTTAGAGCCTTACACTAAATTAATGTCCAACCTTGGGCAGTAATGGAAACTTAGAAGAAGGTAAGCTAAGTGTTGTGAGCATCAAGTAATTAAAGATCTTTTCAAATTTATCATTTAGGCAGAGAGCACAATTTTAACACCTACAATGACCAAGAATCAGACTCCTTGAATGTTCCCTATGATTACACCTCTGTAATGCACTACAGTAAGACTGCTTTCCAGAATGGAACAGAGCCAACAATTGTCACAAGAATCTCAGACTTCATGGATGTGATCGGCCAACGAATGGATTTCAGTGACTATGATCTCTTAAAGTTGAATCGACTATATAACTGCAGTATGTGGCAGGTTCTTTGAAATGCCTTCTGTGTCTCTCTGCCATGTAGGAAAAATTACGTGCCGTGCCATTTTGCTGAGCATCGCTGGCTTTTCTGAAATGATGGTTTGATAGTTGTTTGATAATTATAATTTTATAGTAGAAGTTTGATATTAAGCAAAAAAACAACAACAACATAAGAGCACCCAAATCCCAATCCACAGCTTAGAAGCCACATTTTTCTTCTCAGAAGATCTGGCCTTCAGATCTAAACACAAATTGGGGCCTATAGTAACATGCCCCATGTCAATGTTTTGAATGAAGAGCCGTCATACAAATGGGATCAAATCATCTGTGTTGCAGTTTAATAATCTGGGTAACTAGAGGAGTGTAGACTCAGGTTCCTATACATTAGATGATTAAAGAAAAATGTCTTGGGGCAGACAGCTTATTCAGATACACAGAGTTGATCAATCCCTTGGTTTTGCAGATATCGAGAAGTCTTCAACCCCCAGAATCAGCAAGGTGTCCCCTTTAATGCCATCCTGGTATTCCTAGTACTTCCGTACTTGGATTATCATGTCGGAGGAGTGTCAATAATTGTCATTTTACTTTTGTAGCCACTTCCCTGAGCTTTATGGACTCATGCAGTTTTGAACTGGAAAATGTGTGTGGTATGATTCAAAGTTCAGATGATAATGCTGACTGGCAATGGGTGTCCCAGGTTCCCAGAGGGCCTGAGAGCGATCACTCCAGCATGGGCCAGTGCAAAGGTAACAGGAGTGAGATACTTCTGGATTTTACACTTGGTGACCCCAGCATTTTCCTTTGCTATGAAAGACTGGGATTTTATCCCTAATTTCTATCTGAATTATTAATGATAACCCATTCGGTTGCTACTAAGGATACAGTTCTATGCCTTATAAGGACATGGCTCATTTCTTTGCTTTTCCTCTTTACTTTTCTCTTCTTTCTATAAGTCAGAGCTGCGCTCTGTGAAGCCTCTCCCTGTCTGTGCCCACAGCAGGAGGGGACTGTACCTCCTGGAAGGGCTCTTATGTCCAGGGTAGCGGGGTGGTTTTCTCAAAGCTCACGAGATACAAGAGACTTTCCAGTGAACAGCACAAGGCTGTGAATTAATCCGTTTCAGAATTTCAGTTGGTTGTGATTACACCTCCCTGTTATAAAAGTCCTGAAAATGAAGAGACAAAGTACAATTTATTTAATTTTATTCAGATGAGTATCCTTTTCCATCATAATTTTGTTTTAAATTAAACAATCATTTATTTGGCTACAAGTACTCCATTTTTATTTATTTGCTCATTCCTGGCAACAAAGATGTACAACTAGACTTCAGAACTGAGGGTCATTGCATGACAGCTCAGCCAGTCTAGGCAGTGGTTGGGGTCCCTAACAGTGAAGAGTGCTTTTCCTTTTCTTTTTCTTTCTTGGAGGGCTGGGGGCAGGAAGGCAGATGTTAAGGGTACAGACTTGCAATGAGTAGTAAAGAAGCCCTGGAGATCTAATGCACCGTGCAGGGAATATAGACAGCAATATTATATTCTGATCACTAAACTTACTGAGAGACTAGAACTTAATTATTCCGACCACAAAAAAAGAAATGATAATTATGTGACATGTTAGAGGTTGCTAATTACCGCTACAGTGGCAATCATATTACAGTATATAAATGTATCGAATTAACGTGTCGTACACCTTAAATTTACACAATGCTCTATGTCAAATATATGTCAATAAAAATACCCTTTTCTTTTAAAATGCAGATTTGGATAGTGGATAGTGGTCCTCCATAGGCCAGAAGGAAGGAGGAAGGAAAGGAGGGAGGGAGAAGATGAGAGAGAGAGAGAGAGAGAGAGAGAGACACACGAGGCCAAGAAGGTGATACTTTTTTCTGAGTTTGAAAGCTATAGTAAGGAAAAGGTGGCCCAAGATCTCTTTTATCAACCCCCTGCTCATGGAACTGTACTTAAATACCCAGCACAGTGCTCTGCCTGCAGTGGGTACTAAGTAGACGCATGCCTATATCTCGTATCTGCTTTGTCAATTCTGCTTTTGTTTTCTGAACAGGTTCTGGTTTCTTCATGCATTTCAACAGTAGCTCTGTAAGCGTGGGGGCCACGGCCCTGCTGGAAAGTCGAACATTATACCCTAAAAGAGGATTTCAGTGCTTGCAATTTTATTTATATAACACTGGAAGTGAAAACGACCAACTGAACATCTACACCAGGGAGTATCCCGCAGACAATGTGGTTGGTACTTTAACGCTTGTGGAGGAAATAAAAGGTACAGTATCAACATTCTTATTGTCTCAGTTCAGAGTGAAGCAATCTTAACTCTAAGTCTGTGGCACTGAGGAGGTCAGTTCTTGGCAGGTAATAAAAATACATGGGAGGAGGGGCTCCAGGATGGCTCGCCTGGGTGGCTCAGTCATTAAGCGTCTGCCTTCGGCTCAGGTCATGATCCCAGAGTCCTGGGATCAAGCCCCACATCGGGCTCCCTGCTCCACAGGAAGCCTGCTTCTCCCCCTCCCACTCCCCCTGCTTGTGTTCCCTCTTTCACTCTGTCTTTCTCTGTCAAATAAATAAATAAAAAATCTTAAAAAAAAAATACATGGGAGGGGTGCATGGGTGGGGCAGTCAGTTGAGTATCTGGCTCTTGGTTTTCTGCTCAGGTCGTGGTCTAATGGGACATGGGATTGAGCCCCACATTGGGCTCTGAGCTCAATGGGGAGTCTTCTTGAGAGTCTCTCTCTGCCCCTCCCCCTACTCTTTTTCTCCCTCTTTCCATCTCCATCAAATAAGTAAATAAATCTTAAAAAACAAAAAACAGAAAACAAGGAAAACTAGTTTAGGCAAAATGGGAAGTTACTGGTTCAATGTAAAGAGATTGTGGGATGGACGAGGGAGGAACTGGCCTCAGGCAGGGCTAAACCTATCCCTGAACATGGTCGGGGACCTTCATGTTATCTCAGATAGGCTTTGTCCACAAAACTGGTGCTTTGAATATTCCACTTCCCAGCTTACGTTTTTATCAAATATGCCATCAGACTGGAAAAGGGACTCTTCCTCTAATTTCTAGCTTAAAAAAAAATCCTAGTGAAGAATTCTAATTGTTACGATTAGTTACAGTTAAGTGCAACTTCTGGAGCAATTCCTGAGTAGAGAGAGGGCAACACTCCATTCCAATCATCTGTCAGAGAGGTGGGTCACGTTGACCAACTATAAAAGCAGGTGGTTAAGAAATTTCCCTGCTGCCAATTCTGCTACTGTCTGCTCCACATATTGACCACTTGGTTTGAATGAATTGAGTAAAACCTATTATAAAATCGATCTACATTATGCTATATGTCATACCATTTTCCTCCCATAAACAGTAGCACAAAAGGTACTTAAGAAACGTGCTTAGGGGGCGCCTGGGTGGCTCAGTCGTTAAGTGTCTGCCTTCGGCTCAGGTCATGATTCCAGGGTCGTGGGATCGAGTCCCGCATCGGGCTCCCTGCTCGGCAGGAAGCCCGTTTCTCCCTCTCCCACTCCCCCTGCTTGTGTTCCTGCTCTTGCTATCTCTCTATCAAATAAATAAATAAAATCTTAAAAAAAAAAAGAAAAAGAAAAAAAGAAACATGCTTAGGAGTCCAGAATTTAAACGGATGGTGCTGATCTGATCTTAATGCAGTGGAAGTGCTAATGAAAGATTTTTGTTCAGTTCAGAGTCTACCCGTAGATAATAGTATTTTCTGTAATTTGGATATTTCTAAGTTATTTTCACATAATTGTGTTTCACAGTAAGTGCCAATATATTCAAGTTTTAAGTCATTGTGTTAACTACTAGTTCGACATGAATTCCTGAGCTGGTCTCTACCTGGGGGATTCTGAAATTTTAAAAATGTATTGCTGCTTCTTTTTTTTTTTTTTTTTTAAGATTCTATTTATTTGCGAGAGAGAGAATGAGAGACAGAGAGCATGAGAGGGGGGAGGGTCAGAGGGAGAAGCAGACTCCCCACCGAGCAGGGAGCCCGATGCGGGACTCGATCCCGGGACTCGAGGATCATGACCCGAGCTGAAGGCAGTCGCTTAACCGACTGAGCCACCCAGGCGCCCTGTATTGCTGCTTCTTATTTGGGTGTGTGATACAAGAAAATAAGACAAGATAGCATAGTCTGTGCTGCTAGTTAGGGGTAGGAGGTGATAGTGAAAGGGGAAGTATAGGATGGGGAGGAAGATGATGGTATCAAATATTCACATATTTATAACATTGAGTCACTAGTAAATGATCTAAGGAGTAAATGGTAAATGTGGGCTTTCTGGGGTTCGGCAGATTCTTGTTTAATACTACCAAAACGTTGATGGAAAATTTTGCATGTGAAGGAAGTATTTCAATCAAACTATAAATGAGGCTTTGGCTGAACCTCACAGGAATCCTGGGTACAACTGTAGATGTTGGGTTTAGCTAACATAGAATGGGAGGTAACTCATATATAGGGCATGGAGTACTCCTAAGTTAGGTGTGGTTGTTTGGTCAGCCTTCACTGGGAAAGGGTGACCTATCTGAGAAACAAGTAGATAAGCATCCAGATATTCCAGAGAGCAGTTTGACACCACAGAACTCCCTTGAAGGGAATGGGCCTGGGCGGGAGAGGTAAGAAGATCATACTGCAGACCTGTAGGCATCAATAGCTCTAGGATGATCATTTGGCCTATGAAGGTTAAAAACTCTAATGTTGATTTGCACATGATTCTCAGTCCTTTGCTTTGGAATAATAATGTCTCTTTTGCAGAGATACCCATTGGAAGCTGGCAACTTTACCATGTAACATTGAAAATGACCAAGAAATTCAGAGTGGTGTTTGGAGGGGTCAGAGGCGCTGGTGCATCATTGGGTGGCCTGTCCATTGATGACATCAATCTTTCAGAAACACAGTGCCCTCATCACATCTGGCATATAACGAATTTCACACAGTTTATTGGCAGCTCAAGTGGAACTCTCTATAGCCCTCCATTTTATTCTCCTAAAGGTTATGCCTTTCAGATTCACTTGAATCTAAGCCATTCGACTAATGCAGGAATATATTTCCACTTGATCTCTGGAGCCAATGATGATCAATTACAATGGCCATGTCCTTGGCAACAAGCCACGATGACACTCTTGGATCAAAATCCTGACATTCGACAGCGTATGTCCAACCAGCGGAGTGTAACTACAGACCCATTTATGACCACCGGTTGGTGACTCATTTTCCTTATTGTTAATACATGATCATTGCTCTGGGAGGGATGGATGATTTGGGAATGAGAGACTGCATGGTCAGGTACCTAGGGAGTATTGAGCCCCAAATTTTAGGAACAGAAGATATTGAGGGGAAGGGCTTCAGCAGTTGTGGGTAGAGTCCCCCAGGCAGGACACTGTCAGGATGTGAGTTGGGAATGTCTCTGAAAAATAGAGAAGATACTGATGTTATTCCTGGCAATTGACCATACCTGAGGTCCCAGTTGTTCGAGGAGTGTTGGTTTTAGAGTCTGGCATGCCTGGGTTCTAATCCAAAGTTTGCTCCTCATTAGCTATGTGATACTGAGCAAATAGTCTTTTGGAACCCCAGTGTCCTCAGCCATAAGACTGAGGCAGTAATAATAAGCACCCCCTTGTCACCAGGGCTGCCAAGCACAATTCAGCTCTTGTAGAAGGGGATGGTTCCTGATGAGAAGGAAGACGTTGAGCGGGTGCTCTGGAGTGTTGGGAAGGCTCTGAGAAGGGACTATAACTTCTTATTAAAGAGTTCTGGAGGACTTGCCAATGGTGACATCATTCCCCATCTTCCCAGTCTCAGAAAGGAACAGCTCCTCCTCCCCCCAGAATGATCACATTTCTAATTTTAATAATCCTTTGCCCCCTGGGAACCTAATAAAAAGTGAAATTGTGGCAAGGTGAATATTATTGCCAAATTTGAATTCTATATTTGAAAAAAATGGACCTCAGTGACATAGGAAAAAAGAAACCACTAATCTGATAGGAAAAAAGAAATATTCACAAACAGGATTATAGGGACTCGATGTTCAGAATTTCTTCACTTTTTCGCCAAAACATATTTCCCTGAATGAGCCATTGAAAATGGCTCAAAGTTGGGTGGGTCATCACCTTCTCCCAGAAGCAGTACTTCTCACTGTCTTCTTTTCCTGAAGGATTTTGCTCTGGTAGGTGAGTAATTCAGCTAATGAGATGAATTGTTCTATGTTAATATCAAAAACTCTCTCAGGGTGCCTGGCTGGCTCAGTCAGGAGAGCACGTGACTCTTGATCTCGGAGTCATGAGTTTGATTCCCCATGTTGTAGAGATTACTTAAAAAATAAAACTTAAAAAAAGTCTCAGAAACGTATTGATTTAACTTGGTTAAAAGGACTATCTATGACTCAGGGCAACTAAGGAATGATTTTAATGCGCAGGGGAGTTTCTATACTGGCCGGTCAATATAGGTGTTATACCCCACCCGGGAAACTTTTGGTATGCGTCCACACCAATCCCAGAATGTGGTCTTCCTTGCTAGGCAATCTCATTTTCTTTAGAACAGTATCAATGAGCAAGCTTCAGTGACTTGCCAGGGAACACATCACAGGTCAATGGCATCATTTAATTATTTTGAGCTCTATCCTAATTGTGTTTCACATTGCCTGTTCTTTCCTACCACCAAAAGCTATGATGATGCTAAACACAATCCATTAATATAAATTGCTTTTTCAGATAATGGAAACTATTTTTGGGACAGGCCTTCCAAAGTGGGAGAAGTGGCTTTTTTCCCTAATGGAACTCAGTTTAGAAGAGGTCAAGGCTCTGGAACCAGTGCCTTCATAACCCACAAGAGGCTGAAAAGCAGAGATTTTATAAAAGGAGATGATGTTTATATCCTACTGACAGTGGAAGGTATGTCAGTAAAAATAATTTTATATAAGCTATTTTTGTTGTTGTCGTGGCCATTGATTATTTACTGTGTTCTTCTGGGTTCCATTTTTAGGTATAGGAGCAAATGGGCATGAGAGTGGGATTTTTTTTTTTTTTTGGTATGAATCATTAACAATATGAAAATAACTTAAATAAAAACAATGACCATTCCTGGATAAAAAACTTAATTACCACCACATGGAGCCATGGAAAATTTAGGCCAGAAATCTTTAGAAACAAGTGAAAGTATAGCTGTCATACCCTAGAATTATACTCTGGGGTTCCAGAAATAGAAATATTACACAGCACATGAAATTAAACTGGAAATGAACTGTCTTTATTGTGTTTTTCAAATATATAGACATGCATACATATACATATGAGCATACAAGGATGCATGTATATTTTTTATGTATCCTATGTAAGCGCCCACACATATGTTTTGTCACTGGTAGCATTAATCTATTGCCTTTTAAAATTTCTTACCCATGGCACCTAATAAATACATTTTCCAGGAATACTGCTGGTTTCCATGTTTTATGTGGCACCATTTTAACTCATTTACTATTAAAGACCCACTCGCATCTCAGTAAATCAGCATCTTGTTTGTGATGAAAGGTGGTGCAATTAAAACCCATGAAATTTTTATGTCAGTGTCAATTAGAGTAAATCTAGATGATACTTCTTGGAAAAAAATGTTCAAGAATAACTGTGTCGAGGGAAAAATCATCTTCTGTAGCAGAGAAAAAGTCCCAGGTTCATCAATTCAGTTCAACCCTGTTTGGAGGACAAGCAACAGGAAGCACTGCAAAGAATAGAGCCCCGGTTGTTCAGGGGACCTGGCGGCTTGTGTCAGATATCCCCCAGTTTGCTCCCCTCTAGCAAGAGACCTGTGACCTTGGGCAAACCCCTCAACTGCCTTGCATTGCTGTGCTTTGGTCTCTGCGTCTGTCCCTCGAGAGTGGGTTATAAGGGCTTGGGCCCCTTGTAGCTCAGGCAAGCCCAGGCCCAGGCCCAGGTAAGCATGTGGTTCAGTTGACAGCCCCACAGCTTCAGTTTGCATCTAGATTTCGATTTTAATTATTTCACTGCCTGTGAAACCTAAGCATCCATTTTGAAACTTAAAGATCAAATGCTTGTTAAAGTCAAACTGATTTCCACCCATACTCTCCCTCTGCCCTCCTTAGACATATCCCACCTTAATTCTACACCAGTTCAGCCAACCCCAACCTCTACTGTGAATGACCTTTGCACAAACTTTAAATGTGAGAACGATGGCATTTGCATTGTCCAAAATGGGAAAGCCGAGTGCAGGTAAGGGGTCACTTGGATGAGATCTCCCCATCCTCTTGTTAGAAAGTTTATCCTTTCCACACTGTAGGGTCAAACACTGACATCTTACATGAATGGTCAGTTGGTTCTCATCTCATAGCCATCCATGGGATATTTACTTTTTGTTCTCCATTTAGGACTTTGGATAGCTACAAGAACAGTAAAATTATTTATGAAGAAATAGTACATTATATTGTAATTGCCTGAAAAAGTCCTTATGAGTTATATGTCTTATGAAGTCCTCACAACAGTCTGGTGTGGTGAAGTGGAACCGTCCCCATTTTCTAGATAGACATAGTTCTCAGACATTCTGGGATGAGCTTGGCCAAGGGGTACAGCGGGGAGGTGGAGGGACAGAGACATGAGAACTAAATTTTCTCCATTATCTGCACCACCTTCCTTTCCCACCTTGGGGCCACTGTTTTGAGTACCAGATGAATAGTAATTCCATTTCTTTTCCATTGGCCTTGCCTGGCCTCCTCTGGTTGAGTTCCATATGTCAATGGCCAGAACGTTGACCCACACCTTCAATGGTGAGGATTTTCAGACTGAAATGTCAACTTGTAACTCTGGGTCACATTCCAATGTGCAGGTGTCAGTCAGGGGAAGACTGGTGGTACATGGGGGAGAGGTGTGAGAGGAGAGGCTCTACCCGGGACACCATTGTCATCGCTGCATCTTCCACCGCTGCCATGTTTGCCCTGATGCTGATAGTCACCCTCATCAGTGTCTATTGTATCAGGAAGAAATATCGTAGAAGGATAAGTTCAAATACGGCAGCTATGAATCTGGAAAATGTAAGTTGAGTCTCATATTTGGTAATTCAAAACCTATTGATGAAATCATATGAAGAAGAATTAGGACTTTCTTATATACTTAAAAAAGAATCTCTTTATTTTCTATGCTGGATAACAGGTTTGAAACCATGAGTTCCTGTTACCTTCACAAGAGGTCAACAGTTCTTAAATTGGAGCCCATGAGGGCTTTTCGGAAGGAGTTCATATCCTTCTGGAATTGTATGCAAAATTGTATGGTTGTATCTTTTTTCTAGGGTGAGGGTCTGTGACCCTTCTGAAAGACAAAACTGATTTTGCCTCTAAGTCCCAACCTTCCTGGTAGACGGGACAGGTGAACTGTAAGCGTTTTTGCTCTGAAGGTCTTTTGGGTGGGGGTTGAGCTCAGGCTTGTAGGAAGGGGGTGCCGGCCTGTTTGAGGCTTTTCCATTTCCAATCCATCTGGCTCCCTGTGCAGTAACTAACACTCAGGCAAGATTTTCTTTTTCTTTCTTTCTTTTTTTTTTTTAATTCATGAGAGATAGGGAGGCAGAGGCAGAGGGAGAAGCAGGCTTCCCCACGGAGCAGGGAGCCCGATGTGGGACTCGATCCCAGGACCCTGGGATCATGACCTGAGCCGAAGGCAGACGCTTAACCGACTGAGCCACCCAGGCGTCCCTCAGGCAAGATTTTCAAGTAGAGGGTTTAAAGTCTTGCCTCAGAGGGTCTCTGAAATGGCAATAGACTCTTGAAACTACCCTGTCTCAGAGTGGCTGCCCTGGAGAGAGTGTTCCTGGGAGCATGGAGGACGGAGTAAGGGAAGCTGGACAGGGCAGAGGGTGAAGGGACACAGGGATGGGATTGCAGCAGAGGACACGGAACACGGGGATGGGATTGCAGCAGAGGACACGGAACACAGGGATGGGATTGCAGCAGAGGCCTAGGCCCTGCTACGGAGCTGGGATAGTGCCCTGAGTTTAGGCAAGGGGGCCAAGCCAATGTAGTCCCCCCATCAGTAGCCATTGGATTGGGGTTGCCCCCTGGGAGGAAGTGGACAATTGGGGGAGGCAGGGCCCCTTGTGGCAAGGGCATGTCCTGCACGAAAGCCTTCCTTTTGAAGGGCAGGACTAAGCAGTAGCCCCAGCACCCACTATTTATGCAGTAGTAAAGTACACAGACCCCTAGTCTCACGCACAAAAGAGCGCAAGGAAAATGGCGTCAAGTCTGAACATTGTTTAAAAGTGAAGCTATAAAATTCTTCCAGTTCTATTTCATTCAAAATAGAGTCTCTGAAAATTACTGGCAACACTAAAAAAAAAAAAAAAAAAATGTGCCCAATGAGGGTATCTCTGAAACTAGAAATACTGCAATTAGCTAAATCAAGAGATATTTTCTGAAGAAAAATGGCTATTCAAGACATACTATATTTTACAGTTATGATTTTTTGAAGTGGACAAACTGGTACTAGACACTAAATTTGTTCGCAAAGTTAGTCAAAAGATGGACAATGATAATGAACAGAAAGCAAATAGTTTTATTCCCATACACTGCTGTCCCATTTCCTCAACAGCAGGAAGTGTTTACAGCTAATCATAAAGCAATGGCTCAGTTACTTCCCAAGCTTATTAGAAAAGTACTTAAAATGTATACAGGTGTTTTGTTGTGGTTTAAAAAACAAACAAGTATTTCCAGCTTACTTTATGACTCAAAATAAAAGGGACAGATCGGCCAGTGACCTTGTAGGCCAACCTGATGAAAGCTGTACCTGCAGGCATGGTGCCCTGGGCCAGGAGGGATGCACTTGAGGTTTGGAGTAGCGGTTAGGGAAGAGAGGACACATTAGCTAGTAGAAAGGACTGCCAGTTATTCTTCTGGAAATTGGAAAATATAGGCGTTATTAAAAGGGCTGACTTACGAAGCAAATATTGGAAGGAGTTAAAGAAAATGATAAAGAGAAGAGAGAGAAAGAAGGAAGTTAAATCAAGAAAGGGGAGAATTATCAAAGTATCAGGGACACGGTAGGGCTGTTAAGTAAACACACACACACACCCCCCTAAGCACCATATTCCCAAGAGCAAGAAATCAACTTACATTTTCCCCAATTTCTACAGTTAATTCACTGATAACGGAACGTCCAGATCTAGTTTAGGTCTTAAATCAGAATGCTCTTCTTTCTGAGGCTACAGTGTGTATTCGTCCTAATGGACGAATTCCGCTAGCCGGACGGGCCAGTGCATCTTCCTGGAGACCCGGCTGGGGGAGCCCCCCAGCTGGGAGGGATGCCAGGAGCCTGTTGATGGCACTTCATTTAAAAATGAGACTGCTTCCCTGTGATTCATTGAAATGACAGTTTTTAAATTTAGAAATTAAGTCATCAATTGTTCTTTCCCCTTTTAGCAGCATGCATTTTGAAGATTAACTCAACAATATGGCCAGCAAATGAAATGAAAAAGGATTCTTCATCATGGATTTCACCTAGAATCCATTCCAACTGCCTTGTTCTTCTATAAATGGATCTTCTCTGTAAATAGCTGGATATACTATAAATCATTATTTTTGGTGAACATCTTATTGGTGAAATGTTTGTGTTTTTGTTTTTAAAGGAGGGAAGGAATTCTGAATCCCACAGAATTGTAATATTGTCTCTATGAAGGAGCACAGTAACTAGAGATAGCTTTCCAAATTACTGATCCTTCCCTTGGGGGGCCAACGACAGCGGCCTCACAAGTGATTGCCTGGGCACCCACTGGAAACACCCAGTGGGAATGATCTACATGCCATCTCAGCATTTGTGTGTGGTCCCGTCCCAGTGTAGGGAGGGGTGGTAGGACAGCTCCCTCTCTCTCCGGGAACAATTGCTCCTCTGGCCAAAGCTGGCCACTCTCTTGTTTTCTTCCACAGACTCTTCAGAAAGTAAGCTGGGTTTAGAATTTGTTTGAACGTGTACCTGCGATTGACCAGGAAACTTTTAACTCCCAGAGCAATGGTTCTCCAACTTCTCAGTCTCAGGAGTGATCGAGGGCCCCAAAGAGCTTTTGCTTGTGAATATCACATTTATCAGTACTTACGTTATTAGAAATTCAAGCCAGGAAAATGTAAAACTATGTATTTCTTAATCATTAATAAATAATAAACCCAATGTTTACATGTTAGTGTAAATAATATTTTTATGAAAAAATAACTCTTTTTCAAAACAAGAAAATATAGCAAAAGGAGGGGTAGTGTTTTACACTTTTTTGCAAATCTCTAATGTCTGGCTTAATAGAGAACCGCTGAATTCTCACATATGTGTCCGCATTCGGTCTGTTGTGATATGTTATTTTCATTGAAGGATACAAAGCAAATCTAGCCTCACACAGATATGTAATTGGAAAGGGGAGGTGTATTTAAATAGCTTTTCAGGTAATTGTGGATATTCTTTTTGAATAGTTTGTTGAAAGTTGACAAATGGTTATTTCTTAAATGTTAGCTATAACTGGAACCTGAGACAGTATCAATGATCTCTTGTACTCCGTCTAGTATTATCCACTGGCCTATCTTGTATTTTGAATGGATCATCTATGCATGATTTTGTAATATTGTGTATTGATCATGTAGAAAATACTTTACTGGTTCACTGAGTTATGAAGTGCTTACAGTTTGTGGCACATTTCATTATACAGTATCAAAACATGACATTAGTTAATATCACTACTGATCTTATAAAAAAAAAAGTCTTTAAGTCTTGGGAAGTTGACACTCAGGTGGGAAAAGCAAATTTTCCAAAATTCGGATTTTTTGCTTGAAAGCTTAAATCTCATCATTGGCAACAAATACTGTTTTCTTTGTAGTGACAGGCTCATTTCAGTCAATTTTTTAATTCAAATTTTATTTTAAGACAATTACAGATTCACATGTAGTTGTTAAAAAAAATAAAAACAACAGGGAGAGATCCCTGTACCCTTCTCGAAGTTTCTCTCAATGGGAACGTCTCACAATGCTGTAGTACAATGTTACAACCGAGTTATCAACAGTGTTACAGTCAAAATACAGAACATTTTCATTAACACAAGGATCCCTCAAGTTGCCTTCAAATAGCCACTCCATTTGCCTATTGTTCCTACCTGCTGTTTAACCCCTAGTGACCATTAATCTGTTCTCTATTTCAGTAATTTTGTCATTTAAAAAAATGTTATATTAACAGAACCACGCAGTATAGCACCTTTGGGCATTGCTTTTTTTTTTTTTTTTTAGCTCAGCATAATTCTCTGTACAATCCAGGTTGTGTATACACTAGTTTTTGCTTTTTATTGCCAAGTAGTGTTCATGGTATGGCTTCACCACAGTGTAACCATTCATTGTTGAAGGACATTTGGGTTGTTTCCAGCTTGGGGCTATTACAAATAAAGCTGCTGTAAACATTCATGTACAGGTTTTGTAGACACATAAGTCTTCCTTTCTCTGGGATACATGCCCAGGATAGCAATTGTTGGGTTATATGGTAATTGCATGTTTAGTTTTTTAAGACACTGCCAAACTGATTTGCAGAGGGGCTGTACCCTTTTACATGCCCACCAACAGCATATGAGTAATCCAGTTTCTCTGCATTTTTACCAGCTTTTGGTGTTTCACTATCTTCTTTTTTTTTTAAATAGACTATTTTTTTTTAGAGTACTTTTAGATTCACAGCAAAATTGAGCAGAAAGTTCAGAGTTCCCATATACCCCTTCCCCCCACATACCCACAGCCTCTCCCACTGTCAGCATCACGAGAGTGGTAAATTTATTGTTGTCAACAGACCTACATTGTCGAAAGCATGGACTTCATACTTTAGTGGACTTTAGTCCATACTTTCCACTAGGAGTCACTGTTGGTGTGGTACCTTATATGGGTTTGCACAGATAGATAGTAGCATGGATTCACTGATTATAATATCCTACAGAATAGTTTCACCACCTGAAAAATCCTTCTATGTTTTGCTTATTTGTCCTTCCCTGAACTTAACTCCGGGCAACCATTCATCTTTTTACTGCCTCCAGAGTTTTGCCTTTTCCAGAATGTCATTGAGTTGGAATCATATAGCATGCAGCCTTTTCAGATTGGTTTCTTTTACTTGTCACTATTTTTATTTTAGCGATTCTGAGAAGTGTGTAGTGATCTCTCGTTGTGGTTTTAATTGGCAGTTCCCTAATGACTAATGACATTGAACGTCTATATCTACCTATCCATTTATCTATAGTGTTTTTGAGTGTATCTCTTTGTGTAGCTTTTATAGTGCTTACTTTATTACAATTTTCATATGTAGAAGTATACAAAAATATATGGTTATAATTATATATTATATATAACATATGTTATATTATATATAATTATATTATATTATATATAACATATGTTATATATAATATATACTTATTTATATATAAATATGTATAGCTATACAGAAATGTAATATACAAATTCTATTATATATTGTTATATATAAATTATGTGTAAGTATATATAAATGTAATAAATATAATTTATATATATATATTTTTTATAATTTATATTTTTAAAATTTATATTTATATACGAAAAAGACGGATACTCAATGGTTAAACTTTCATAAAGTTAATATTGTTTACTGCTTCATTAGGGACATTCTTAAGCAAAACTGGCTTTAAAATTATGTGTTTATTTATTTACTGCAAATGTACAACAGTAAAATTATAATGACTTCCAGTGACAGTTTGCTACCCCTGCCTTGATTTGTGCTAAGACACCAGCAGTTTTACCCATGACTACTTTTTTACTCCAATTTTTTTTATTGTGGTAAAAATTTGTAAACTATAAAATTCTCATGATGCCTGGCTGGCTCAGTCCCTAGAACATACGACTCTTAATCTCAGGGCTGTCAGTTCAACCCCCATATCAGGGGTAGAGTTTACTTTAAAAATAAATAAATATAAGGGCCCCTGGGTGGCTCAGTTGGTTAAGCGTCTGCCTTTGGCTCAGGTCATGATCCCAGGATCCTGGGATCGAGTCCCACATCGGGCTCCTTGCTCAGTGGGAAGCCTGCTTCTCCCTTTCCCTCTGCCTGCCACTCCCCCTGCTTGTGCTCTCTCTCTCTCTCCTTGTCAAATAAATAAAAAAATCTTAAAAAAAAAAAAATACAGGTGGCACCTGGGTGGCCCAGTCGGTTAAGCATCCAACCCTTGGTTTTGGCTCAGGCTGTGATCTCTGGGTCGTGGGATTGAGCCCTGAGTCGAGTCGAGCTCTGTGCTCAGTAGGGAGTCTGTTTGAGATTCTCTTTCCCTCTGCCTTTTCCCCCATGCTCTCTCTCACTCTCTCTATCTCTAAAATAAATAAATAATCTTGAAAAAATAAATAATATAAATTTTAAAAAACTATAAAATTCACCATTTAACCATTTTAAAGTGGCATTTAGTACATTTAAAATGTTATACAACCACCACCACTCTCTAGTTCCAGACATTTTCCTTACCCCCGAAAGAAAATTATCCACTAAGCAGTTATTCTCCCTCCTCCCTTCAGCCCCTGGCAACCACTCATCTGCTTTCTGTCTTTATAGATTTACCTAGTCTGGACATTTTGTATAAATGGAGTCATACAATATGTGACCTTTTATGTCTGGCTTCTTTCACTTAACATAAGATTTTTGAGGTTCGACCGTGGTATCAGTCCATCCTTCCTTTTTATAGCTGGATAATATTCCGTTGTATGAGTATACCACATTTTTTATCCATTCATCCGTTGATGGGCATTTGGGTTGTTTCCACCTTTACCTATTGTGAATAATGTTGCTACGAACCTTTGTTCTCTGCTATGAACCATAGTTTTTGTTTGAACATCTACTTTTTTTTTTAAAGATTTATTTATTTATTTATTTGACAGAGAGATACACAGCGAGAGAGGGAACACAAGCAGGGGGAGTGGGAGAGGGAGAAGCAGGCTTCCCGCGGAGCAGCAAGCCTGATGCGGGGCTCGATCCTAGAACCCCGGGATCATGACCCGAGCCGAAGGCAGACGCCTAACGACTGAGCCACCCAGGCGCCCTTGAACATCTACTTTTTTTAAACATTTTTTTAAATTAAATAATCTCTTTGCCCATTGTGGGGCTCGAACTCATGACCCTGAGATCAAGAGTTGCACCCTCCACCAAGTGAGCCAGCCAGGTGTCTCTGAACATCTATTTTCAATTCTTTGGGGAATATATCTAGGAGTAACATTGGTGAGTCATATGGCGATTCTATGTTTAACTTTTTGAGGAACTGTCATATACTTTGCATGGTAGCTTCACCATCCTACACTCCCACCAGCAATGCATGGAGGGGTCCAATTTCTTTATATCCTCATCAGATTTGTTATTTTCCGTTTTTATCGTTGTTGTTTTTTTTAAAAGTCATCTCTACACCCAACATGGGGCTTGAACTCATGACCCCTGAGATCAAGAGTCGGATGCTCTACAGACTGAGCCAGCCAGGTGCCCCTATTTTCCATTTTTAAAAATTATAACAATTCTAGTGGATGTAAGGAGGTATCTCATTATAGACTCACAAATACTTTTGACCCAGAAGTTTAAATGTCACCATAGAAGAGGCAAATAACATTTTAGTATTAATATGACAATATTTTTATCTCCATGACCCCATGAAACGATTTGGGAAGTTGTTAGGGGTCTGTGAGCCACCCTTTACGAAGAGCTGCACAAGTTAAATGCAGGGAGTAATGGTAGACTTTTCTTTACACAGCTAGTGATTTTATTTATTTATTTTATTTTATTTATTTTTTTAAACATTGTATTTATTTATTTGAGAGAGAGTGAGTGAGAGACAGAGAAAGAAGGATCATGGGGAGGGGCAAACAGAGAGGGAGAAACAGACTCCCTGCTGAGCAGGGAGCCCCACATGGGGCTCAATCTGGGGACTCTGGGATCATGACCCGAGCCGAAGGCAGACACTAAACTGACTGAGTCACCCAGACACCCTGGTTAGTGGCATTTTAGATGATTTTTCTTGGCTGCTTGCCTTTCAGAAGGGGCAAAGTTAAGATAGTAGTTAAAGACATGAACTTTTATATCAGATAGACATGGATTTGAATCCTGGCTCAATAAATAGTGACATAATTTTAGGACACTTGCCTAATATCTCTGAGCCTCAATTTCCTCAGCCATAAAATAGCTACATATGGGAATTTTTATGTGGTTTAATAACACAAGTGTAAATTGTTTGGTGCATAGTGGGCACTCAGCAGAGTAGCTATGCAAAGTAGGTAGTATTAAAAGTGTGATAAAATTTATTATCTAAACAGGGCAATTTTGAGGGTGAAGAGTGTTGTCAGAAAGGACTATGGACAGGGCACCTGGGTGGCGGAGTCGGTTTAGTGTCTGACTCTTGGTTTCGGTTCAGGTCATGATCTCAGAATCATGGGATCAAGCCCCACCACAGGCTCCACGTTCAATGGGGAGTCCGCTTGAGATTCTCTCCCTTTCCCTCTGCTCCTCCCCCAGCTCACACTATCTCTCTCT